TTTTTTTTTTTCCCTGACAAAATGTCGGTCGGGGAGGGAGGAATCGAGCGGGGAACGTCGGTGGCACCGGGAGCTTTGCAGAAGGTGCTGTTCGGATCCTGCCCTTCCCCGGGTGGCAGCTCCGGCTTGGCCGGGTGAATCCTCGCCGCTGGCCGTGGGGACGGCTTGTGGGGCGGCTGCCAGTTGATTTTCTTCTTTTTTTTTTTTTAAATTTGAGTGCTGTGTTCTAAGGCTTTCGGTGCGCACGGGAGGACCCGCCACCGTAAATAAGCATATGGGCGACTAACAGGGTATGTTTCCCTCTGGGAAGGAGGATTTGGTAGCTCAGACCGGTGTCAGCCTGTAAATATTTAGACGATATTAGTGACTTCTGAACATTCTCAGCGAGATCTGTTATTTACAGTTGTCATATGTTATTAATGCCCGTTGCCCAAGTTCCCTGGCAAATCTGTTTCATGCCTTCTGAGAAAGTAGACAATTGATAGATTGTCTCAGGGATGGGGGAAAAATGCGAGTGGGTTTTCTAACTTGAGTTTGGTAAATCTCTCAACGCCTCTGTTGTAAGACACACCAGCCATCCCTGTAACCTTGCTGCTGCGCCTTATGGATGGGGACTTTCGAATCTTTCCAATAAAATGCTCTCCTGGGTGCTTATTGAGAAAGGGGCATGCTGCTGGGTGATTATTATTTTCTTATTATTATTACTATTTTAATATTGAACATTTCTCTACGACCCCTTCTCTCCTTAGAAGTTTTCCCAGAGATAACTTCACCAAGATGTCCAGTGATAGGCAGAGGTCGGATGATGAGAGCCCCAGTACCAGCAGTGGCAGTTCAGATGCGGACCAGCGAGACCCTGCAGCCCCAGAACCTGAGGAACAGGAAGAAAGAAAACCTTCTGCCACCCAGCAGAAGAAGAACACCAAACTTTCTAGCAAAACGACCGCTAAGCTATCCACTAGTGCTAAAAGGTAATGTCCGCAAGGCAGGACTCAGGTGGTCAGGTTGCCTTGTGTCCCGCCGCCGGGCGGTTTTGTTGGTTAAACAGCAGTGGCAGTGGTTCAGAAATACTTCTCCATCAGATGAATTTGGACTTGAATGAGCTGTCATTCTGTCTGTGGTCTATCAGCAACCTTCCTACTACGACTGTTGCCTTGAAAGCCAAGTGGACTTTGTTCTGTACTACGGTCAGAACTGGAGGAGTTGTCTCCAGCAGGGCTGAGGCTGGCTCTGACAGATGAAGGAGCTGGCAAGGAAAATTTGGTGAACCCAAATTAGATGGTACACTGGAGACGTTTCCTTTTGTGAGTCATGCTTGAGTGAAATGGGCCGTTCTAGAGATCAGCAGTGCCTCGATCCATAACGTTGAATGGTCAGAAATGATAATATTTACTAGAAAATTGGTGAATACCAGACTCGGTCATATTGGAAAAAGCAGGTCTGACGGTGTGCTTTAAAATGGCCCACCGTTTGGAGGAACAAGACTCTTAAGTCTGGTGGCACAGGTGTAACTATCAATAAATTTTTGTATCCCTCCTCCTGGCGAGGGCAGATACAACTGAAAAGTAGCCAGTTCCAGTTTCAGATGCCATCCGGTGACGGAAAACGTCACTGTCCTTCCTCCTCTTCACTCTTCAAACTTGTGGGTATGTTTGACAGGTTAACTCGGCAGCAGCAGGGGAGGCATCGCTGAGTCGACCTTACAGATCAGTTTTCTGTTGACTTTTATATTCTGGGATGACAGAAAAAAATTCTACCCGTGGGACTATGAGTGGAAGTAGTGTTGGGATATCTAGAGAAGCAAGCATTAAAAATGAAATGTGCTCACATTACCCAGGACAGGTGTTTTGTTGATTTTTTTTTTATTGGTCATAAATGAAGGAAGAAAAATGTAAAAACTGATCAGATGTTACGTTCTTATTGTGATTCAAACTCTGTGTGGATTTTAACCACTAATCAAATGCTAACAGCTTTAGAATATTTTACTGACCAGGAACAGTCTTTGAAATAATCTAAAGTGCTCAGTTTGCTGTAATCTTGTGGAGGGTCGTGTTAAACACGTCTGAAGTTGGGAAAACATCCTCATTTTGAAGAATATCAGTGTCATCTTTTGCCTGTAACTGAGCTTCTATATTATCTTCTTCCCCACTGCAAATTTGTGGAACTTTAAAGGTATATCTGAAAATCAGAGACGACAGACAGTCCTAGTTAATGTGAGTGCCAATTTGAAATTTCTCATTGGCAAAGATGTTTATAAATTTTAAACTTTTCTGACAGATAAAAAAATGTTGCCAAAAACTGTTAATGTGCTCCTGTAGCAGCCTGTTAATTTTTAGCTCTGTTAAAAGTGACTTGAAATCATTGTCAAATTCTCTGGTGTTTTCCCTCCTCCCTTTTTGTCTCATTTGCATATAAGCTTGAAAAGAGAATTTCCTTGGTAAAAAGTGTGTTTTCATGGATGATATATCCTTCACTTAGTAGTCGGAAAGGGCTATTTCCCGAATCAGGTGGAAGTGACACACTTATTTACAGGAGCACGTGAGAAAAAGAGCTGCAAAGTTTCTGCCCAGGGATTTGGGTTATGCCTCTGAGAACAAAGAGGAAGCAGCCATGTTAGCATTACTGAAGGCAAAGCCAGCCTTGCATTTAACTGCATGGTGGTAGAGGGCAGTGTGATTCCCGGTTAGTCTGTGGACTGCCTCAGAGCCTTTTTGTTTGTTCTCATTTCACTGACAGAATTCAAAAGGAACTAGCTGAAATCACCCTTGATCCTCCTCCCAACTGCAGGTAAGAAACACATTTTGTTTGCATTCCGAGTTGTGGGGAAATATTGAGAAATGAATGGTCTTGCCTGGATAGCTGTGCAGCCGAAGAAGCTGGCTTCATTTGTTAGTGCACTCTTTTGAAGTGCACTAAACTGAAAATTAATTAAATGAAAATGGGAGAGACGATATTCTCTAGCATGGATCCATCGTGAACTTAGGAACACAGGCTTTTGGCTTCTGAAATTAGTGTGGATGGTGTTGGTTTTGCTTGTATGTCTGTGGAGCATTTTTGTTCAAACTGTGTTTCAGTGATTTCTAAAATTTTCAGCTTTAAGGAACTGTTTGTGTGCAATCTGAACTGACCTTCCAGATTTAGAAGTTGCTGAATGCAGTGTTAGAAAATGTAAGCGCAGCAGTAAACAAGAGTGTAGTCGTTTCTGTTGGATTTCTTAGTCACTCGCCTTAAGGAAAAATTTTAGGTGCTAAACTAATAGTTTCAGTGGTTGTTTTCCGGAGGGTGCATTGTTGGAATTATTTATATTTTAAGCACTTATCCTAATTACTTGAAAATTCTTGTAAGTAGAAAGTAAATTGTAATTGTGGAAAGAATTTCACTGGAACCCAGGTAGAATAATTTAAGATTGTTGTGTTTAATAATGTTAAGATGCATCAAAAGTAACCAGTGACATTTTTTTCTGTTTTTTCCCATTTCATCTTATACACTATACTCTTAATTTTGAACAGTGATTATATGGCTTATGAAATGTATCAAATTTAGAGATAAATTGAAACAATTTGCATAGAGACAGATGCTTATGATTGAGAGTGTCTGGTGCAGTTGTGGCCATATTATAGTTTGGTAGAAAAATGCTTGAGCGTTTAATCTGTTTCTGCTACAAATTCTGTGTTTGCTTGTGTTGATCAGACACACCTCTGAAGTTAGCTATAGACACAAATGTAATAATTGACCTCTTACTGTATACATTAATTAGATCTGTTGATAAGATGATCTGATTCTGAATTTAATAGTTTTGCTTATTAAAAGTAGGTATGTCCAACCAAAGTATTAACGTAGGAGGTTATGCTATCCGATAGCCATTAGTTCAAATGACATGTTAAAAGTGTGGCATATGCTCCAGCTTTTAAAAACTTAGCAGAGCATAACATTTTGCTGTTGTATGTTGAAGTGGTAGTATTATGATTATGTTTAATAAATATTATTAAAATTATTTTCACTTTTTCCCATTTAGTTTAGTTACAGGAAATTTACAAGTAATTATGAGTGAGTAATGTCATATTTTTGCTGCTTTAAAAATAAATTGAAGTATCTGTCCAGCCTCCCAAATGGTGTGTCTGATCTGGGTTCATTTAAGAAGGTCAAGTTAAGTTTGCTCTCTGAATCATTTAATTTTCAATATGTATACTTTATTTTTCCAATTATAAGAGATGTAAAGTTCAGTACAAAACTCAGGTGTTTAAAAGTTGCATGTAGGAGCAAATATTTTAAAAGATGGTTGACTTTTCTGCAAATAGCACGATCTAGGGGACAAGAATAATCTACGGAATGTGGTAGACATGTGTTGATTGCCCTCAGAGCAGTGTGGCAGTGGTGGAGGAACCAACTTTTACATTAAACCCTGGAATGTTTCCACAAGGTCACTGAGAATTATTTTAGAGGAAATAGACACTTTCTGTGGGGCAGAGAGTTTGATTTGTTTTGAGTTTTTCCTCTGTGCCAGTCACTAAGATAGTGCTTAGCATTTGGCTGTTAGACTAGTGGGCTAGGGAGACTTAGAACATGCTTGTGCACAGCTGTTTGCCTGTTTTCCCGGCTGCACTTGATAACTGTCAACTATTACAGATGACGGCTTTCAGTTCTCTATTTCTTTAGTATCTGTATTTCTTTGAAGCTGTGTAAGTAATTAGAAAAAAAGTGGGCATTGTAAATTGTTTCCTGGCACTTCGAAGTCAAGCTTTCTTCTCTTGTATGTCTTACATGTAAAAAGACCAGAATCTTGGGCATGTCTAATTCTATGTGAAAGGTCTACTCCTTATCTAGGGTAGAAACTTTGTGGATTGAGTGTTTAGTGCAGGAAGTATAGAATTTTGATAGACAAGCCTAAATTTGCATTGTGTTTTTTCTGCCTTCATATCAGATCTGGGAAAGAACACCACAGTGTTCTTTAAATTCATGTTTAAAATGTTTATTGTAAGGCTGTGGAGATTGTATACTTTAAATTTAATCTTGATTTAGGCTACCATTAAAAATGAAATTCTATATTCATAAGGACATTTAAGATATGTGGGTTTATATTGTCTCAAATGTAAAAAACCCAATGCTTTTGACTTTTCGTGTATACTTTTGACTTTTTGGTGTATAGTTATTTAATCAGAATACTATTATGGTTTTGGATGTGAATTTTATTTTTTACAAGCTTGTCAAAGTATGACAGATTTAATTCTTCCTCGGGGCAGAAATGTAAAGTATAGCTGTGTATCTCAGAAAAAAAGGTTGAAAAATCCAGGAAAATTCAAAAATAAAGCCAAATTACTCAGACCAGGAAGAATTTTCTTAAGTTTCTTCTTTTGATTAGCATTTTTACCTTAGGACTAATCACCCAGAGTGATCAAGTGTTGAATTGGTTGTTAAATTGTATGCCCTTACGTAAGATTCATTTGTAGTTTGGTAGATTTTTCTTTTCTTTTTTCTGGTACTAAAAACTTTGATAAAGATGTTATCTCCAATGATTTGACTATATTTCAGTTCTGGAATTATGAGGTGCTGCTGCCCACAGGCAGGATAGGACTCCCTTCTCAGTTAAGTCTCTTTGGAAAACACCCTCCCAGATATACCCAGAGGGGAATCTCCTAGGTGATTTCAAATGCAGCAGGTTGCTCATGAAGATTAGCCACCACAGATGCAGTGTTTATTTATTGGTTTAAATTTATAGTCTTGCCATCCAGGCCTCAGATTAAGCTATAAATAATTGATAAGCTAGTAAAGTCGAAAGAAAATTGTGTGGGCATTGCTCTGCTTTTAGAGTAACCTGTTGACATGACCATGGAGTGATGTGCTAACAGGGTGACCTCATCTTACAGGCACCACTTGTGGAGAGTGCTTGTTTAGAAAGGTGCTGTTTCTAACTTAGTCCCCAATATCTCTGTATGTATAAACAAGTACAAATGCATGCTTCTAAAATACTCTTTAACGTTCTTAGTTTGAATCTGTTATGATGCAGACATTTAGGGTATTGGTAGATAGTTTTTGGATGTGGGAAGTGCTTTATTTGTGGGAGATATTAGAGTTCTAAGCTTATAATGATATATCTCAGATAAAACCTAAAATCAGGTGCTTACTAATGTTGACAGCTTACCCTTGAAGAAACATAAGCCTGGAAGCCTGAGTTCTAAATGAGAATCTGGTAACTGCTCCTTGTTCATAAGCTCAGTTGGGGATTTTCTTCTACTGTCTTCTGGGTGTTGCTGAAACTGCTTTTTATGGTAGATCAGACCCTTGCTGCGTACAGGGTGACCTGCAGTCTGCATCCTGGGTGGAATTGTGGGAAGTACAGAGTGTTGTGTCTGCCTCCCTTTGCCTTGCTCCATCCTCTCTCAGAAGTATGGAATTAGAACCTCGAATGTAACAAGACTGGAAAGATGAGTTTGCTAAGGTTTGGAAAGTCTTAGTGTAGAAATAAGACTGTCTGGGTTCAGATCCTTGCTCTGCTTCTTATCAGAATGTCCCATTCTGATTATTAGCTTATGCTGTAGTTTTAGCCTATTTTCTCAGTGCGAAATTCCAGGAAAATACTTATTTTGTATATGTTTGTCCTTATTTCAGTTGTGGTGATATTTCTAATATAATTCTAAGTTACCATTTTTACTTGATTATAAGAGAAAGCCCAAACTGACCTACTCTGGTGATCGGATAGCCAAACACCCTAATAGTCATGGTGGAACTCTCATCCAATGACTGGTGGAAGCGGATATAGAGATCCACAGCCAGGCCCCAGGTGGAGCTCTGGGAGTCCAATTGGCGAGAAAGCGGAGGGATTGTATGAGCGAGAATTGTTGAGACCATGATTGGAAAAAGCACAGGGACAAATAGCCAAACTAGCGGAAACACATGAACTATGAACCAATAGCTGAGGAGCCCCCAACTGGATCAGGCCCTTTGGATAAGTGAGGCAGTTGATTAGCTTGAACTGTTTGGGAGGCCCCCAGGCAGTGGGACTGGGACCTGTCCTTAGTGCATGAGCTGGCTGTTTGGAGCCTGGGGCCTATGCAGGGACACTGCTCAGCCTGGGTGAAGGGAGGAGGGGACTGGACCTGCCTGGACTGAATGTACCAGGTTGAGCTGAATCCCCAGGGGAGTCCTTGCCCTGGAGGAGATGGGAATGGGGAGAGCGAGCCGGGAGGAGGGAGGACAGGGGAATCTGTGGCTGATATGTAAAATTAAATTAAATTATAAAATAAAAAAAAGAAGAAATTGATTTTCACAGTAATCTTTTTGTATATAAATCAATATAGGAGAACTTGAGACTGTTTGTAAGACTAAAGACAATCCCCCCCTCGTCTCCCCGTCCCCCGTCCAGAGAAGTAACTGAAAACAGTACCCCCTCAAAGGTCATAGTTTTATTAGGATCTGTTAACACTCATTCAAATGATGTCAGAAAGTATGTAGGAACAATAAGTACTTTTAAAAAGTTACATGCCGCAAATTATGTTCTCTATATGCAACTGTTTGATACCTTATTCCTTATTCTCAGTTTGAATGTGATACTGTAATTTGCTTGGATGTTCAGATTGTTGAGAAGGCAGAACTTGACTTTTTGCTTTTTACAAATATGAGAGAAAAACACAAAACCAGGCACAGGTTTAGAGAATATAATATGATTATTGTCCTTCTTCCCATGTCTTTAAACAGGGAAGTATATTTGGCCATTTTACTGGATGCCTAGATACTAGAGGATGAACTGTATTAAATTTTTAAACTTTTCTTCTTGATCAGTGATTTTGTAC